TGTCGTAGACCAAGACCACATTAATGATAACAGCCAATCAGAAGTAAGAAAAATACCTTTACTGAAGAGCCAATAAGAACCAAACTGCCTCAAGCGCGGGAAAACGCGGGCGACACAGTCATGAATTGGTTTTCATTTTGCATCTGATTGGTTGAACGAGTGGTGTAAGTTTTCTAGACCAATCACAGATCGAAATAAGCAAAAACAAAGCAATTCTGGATTACTTTCGACACTCATTTGGCAATTCCTCCATATCGAATCGGACATACACTGGATCATTATGTTGAGCTCTCTAACTTCATAACTACAACTGTGTCGTTAACGTTATCAAAAAGGTGTTCTGTCTCTTCAGTAGTCGGTTTAAATAACTTTATTCGCATTGAACCACGCTAAAGAAATTAATAAGTTGGCAAATAATTAGATAAATGAATACATGAATAATTAATTAAGTGAGCTGGTAGAGACCTTCTAACGAAGTTAGAATTCAGATACAAAGAAGGAGAGAATCTTCCAAACCTGACCGCGAGATTTTCTCATTCTCTGAATGAGTTACTTGTGGCCTGCAAGCACCCCCTTTTGTTTGCAAAGGTCATTCTCTCCCCAATCCTTTGAGAACGAAAATCGCTGGAGATTTCAAGCATAAAAAAAAGAGGTTTTCCAACAATTAGACATACAGTTGGCTTACCAGATACAAATCATGCACCTTAGGGTTTTATAATGTTAACCTTTATTTCAGGGCTGCAATTTTAGGAAGATAACAAGCACACGATACTCTTTTTTAAAATTCTTATTAAGTTGTTGGGGTGTTTTGGATGGGAGGGAAAGCTCCTTTGGTTTGGTAACTATTGCGTGCATTTTGAAGGCAGTCGGCCCATATTCAATATTCACCCTGTGGTTCAGCTCACCTTTGATTGCTTAGCCTGTGCAAGGCTCTCGGTGAGTGAAAAGGAGCACCCAGCCCAAAAAATGGCGTAAGTATTCTTTCAATACCTCATTCCACCTAACTCACCAGCTTCCGGAAAACCTGTTACCGCGAGAGAGATCACAGCTAGTCTCCATATTAAGCCGCCTCCCCACCCCTTCGCGCTGTTTGTCATTCGCTTGACTCCACAGACTTGGAGCCCGAAACTGCTGATTGGTTCTATCTATGGCTCCTCTTAAATAGCTGACTTTGAAAGACCAAATACCGTCATTTAATTAAAATTAAAAGGCGTAAAAAACGACTGGGAAAAGCCATCTCATAACACTAAGCAAGAAATTATTTTAAATTGGAATTGCTTTTGGCCGTGAGACACAATCACTCAGAAACACAAATTGAATAAGAAAAAGGAAACAAAAAAGAAACAACCACTGTCTCGAGTTTCCAGATGGGATTTGAACCCACGACCCTCCGTGATCTAGTCGGATGCTCTAACCACTGAGCTACAGGAGACTCTATGGTGAGCAAGGGTTCAAATCCCATCTGGAAACTCGATTTTTTAAATTGTTTATTTTCATTTCTACAAACCACTGTCTCGCAAAGAAAAAAAAAAAGCGAAAGAAATTTGAAACGTTCACAGAAATCTGTAAAGGGAAAACAAAAGTAGGGGAAAGAAAACTCCCAGACTTAACGAACACAAAGCTTACTTAAAGGGTATCCTGTTTTTTTACAATTCTTTTTTGAGCTTCACTAACATGTTATACGCTTTTAAAACACCGTGACTTACTGGCGAGTGTGTTTGATTGTAACTCGTGAGAAAAAAATGGAAACCGATCCGAGGAGTCCCCCATGCATGGTTTTCGAGCTAATAACTATAACTAATCGTAAGCAATATGTCAAAGTTGGTAATACAGAATCTAGCCTGAAAACTATTACATGCGGTGTACCCCAAGGCTCCACACTAGGTCCGTTGCTGTTTCTGTTGTATATTAACGATTTGCCTAGGTCTTCAGAGAAATTAGCTTTTAGGATTTTTGCAGATGATACAGATATGTTTTATTCTTCAAAAGACCCTGAACAGCTCCAATCAGTTATTGATGAAGAACTTAGAAAGGTCTTAAAATACTGTGCTGCAAATATGCCGTCAATTAATTTCAAGAAGACTAATTATATGATTATTACTTCACTTAAAAGAGAACAAATATCAGAATTACAGCTTGCAATATGGAACAAAAATCTCAGATAAAATATTTGGGGGTTTTTATTGAGGAACATTTAAAATGGGATGCTCAGCTCCAGCACATAAACAATAAAATAACAAAAAACATCGGAATTCTATCTAAGCTTAGACATTATTTACGTGTGAGCACGCTCAAAAAACTGTACTATACTCTCATATATCCATATCTAACATATGGATTGATGTGCTGGGGAACTGCATACCAAGCCAGGTTAAATAAAATCAAAATAAGTCAAAACAAAGGTATCCGCAGCATCTTCTTTGCTAGCAAAAGAGAAAGTTATACACCATATTTCACACTACTAGAAATCTTAAGATTAGAAAATATTTTTAAATTAAAAATTGGCTCTCTTGTGCATAAAATTCAATATCGAAAAAAGAATATACCTCCAGTCCTCTATGATCTAGCCCAACCAGCTTCAGCTGTCCATAATTACTCTACTAGGTATGCCACTAATCAAAACTTGTACAGACCATTCTCTAGAACCAATTATGGTCTAGCAAGATTTAGTTTGGTGGCATCACAGATCTGGCAAATGATACCTATTAAAATAGTGTCTCCCTGCCAAAAGCTTTAAAAAAGAATATAAACTCTTCCTACTTGGCAGGCAGACATCTTGAACAACTTTAACCTATCATAGAGCTCTATTTTACT